TCTATCTACCCATCCACCTACATACCTATCTACTCTATCTATCTATCCACCTACATACCTATCTACTCTATCTATCTATCTATCTGTCTGTCTGTCTGTCTGTCTGTCTATCTATCTATCTATTTATCTATCTATCTATTTATCTATCTATCTATCTATCTATCTAGTCTATCTAGTCTATCTATCTAGTCCATCCATCCATCTAATTTATTTACTGCCCATCTGGGTGGCTTTCAGCCTTTACAAATCAAAATCCTAACAGACAAACATTTCAAAAACAGTAACAATAGAGACCAGATGTTGGGGAATTGCTTAGGCTGGTCCTTCCCTAGAGCAGCGGAGTGGGCAACCTTTACAACCCACGGACTTTAACTGCCAGAATTCCCCAGCCAGCCACGTTCTAGGGCAGAGGTCTCCAAATTTAGCCACTTTAAGACTTGCGGACATCAACTCCCAGATTTCTCCAGCCACCATAGCCTAGCTGGCTGGAGAATTCTGGGAGTTGAAGTCCGCAAGTCTTAAAGTGGCCACGTTTGGGGACCCCTGTTCTAGGGGTGAATCCATGGTGGCGAAATGAACCTTCAGGAGAGGTTGGGGAAGGGCAGAGGACGAGCGTTCAGCGTGGGCGGTCAGCCCTCCCCCTGTTTCCGCAGGGCGGGTGTAGTCCTGGCAGGAGAACCTCTCCCAGGTGGGCAGAGGAGCCAGCCGAGGTGGGTGTTGACCCCCCCTTGCCAAATGCAAGTTCGGAACAGCGCAGGGAAGTTGAAAGCGTAAGGCTGAGAGGAAGGGTTGCGGTGAACAGCAGTCACCCTCTTGGGTGTCCCGCCTCGTTGAGCAATGCCAAAACAGGAAGGGGGAAGGAAAACAAAGCAAAATCACTGGAAAAAGACCTCGGTGGACCTTAAGGCCGGACATCCACCCCAGGGCGTAGAATCCTGGAAGCTGAACTCCGCCTTCTAGTGATCGAACGGGTTCAGTTGAAATCGATCTCTTTGGGGGCAACTTCCAGCCTGGCAAGCAGCTTGGAAGTCTACTGGGAGGGAGGGAAGGAAAAGAAGGAAGGAAGGAAGGAAGGAAGGAAGGAAGGAAGGAAGGAGGGAAGGAAGGAAGGAAGGAAGGAAGGAAAGAAGAAAAGAAGAAAAAGGAGAAAGGAAGAGAAAGGAAGGGTGGAAGAAGACAGGAAGGAATGAGGGAAGGAAGATAGGAAAAAAGAAAG